AAATGCGAGAGCTAAACATGATATGAGATGGGCTATAAAAGCAAGGACTCCATACTCTATTTTATTTCTTCATTTAAGGTGCATTTATTGGAACCTTGCTATTTACAAGACACTGTAGGAGATAAACATGTGTGGGGCATAGTCCTTCTCGGGCACATTGAGACTAGTCAGGAAAGTAAGGCATGTACATAAATCAGTTTAATACATGTATAAAATGGCGAGGCGCCATAGGCACCTTGTGCGATAAGATGAGATAAGCAGTAATGGGTGTGAACTACAAATTGAATGCTGCTTCACTTTTGTTCTCTAAATCTCAGATAAGCATCTATCTTGTGACCTGCCCTAACCATAAATTTATAGGAAATAAAATTCTGGGAAATCCAGTGCAGCCTGAACAAGTTGACACAGTATAGATAGAGCCATCACACCATCGCTTTCCACTCTCACTTTCTCAGTGGGCCCACAGCAAAGTGTCATGGCAACAAGGATGGGCTCAGCAACCTGACGTTCCACTCATCAAGCCCAATTTAGCATTGGCCATCACTAGTCATTAGGGAAATGCAAGTCAAAACTGGAAGATACTGCTTTGCACCCACCAGGATGACCCTAATAGAAAAGATAGACTATAACCGGTGTTGTAAGGATTAGGAGAAATCAGAACCCTCACACACTGCTGGTGGTAATGTAAAATGGTGAGGCTGCTTTGGAAAATAGTGTGGCAGTTCTTCACATGTAGTGGGGGAGAATGGAGAGCAACTGTTAATGAGTAAGGACTTCTTCCTGTGACAAATGCTGTAAAATTAAATGTGATGGTCACACAACTCTGAATATACCCCAAACCATTGCATTGTGCAGTTTAAATGGATGATCTATATAGCGTGTGAGTGATATCTTAAAGCTGTTAAAATGCTCTGTCAATTATTTTTACCTACCTAACAGCTTCCAGAAGAACTCATATTATTTACATTGCAATTGCTTTGTTTGTAATTTCTCTATATAATTAGAGAAAGGGTTTTGGGAAAGATGGCATAACTTTTTACTTAAAACCTTTCATTCTTGATGATGTATCATCATTTATACCTGAGCATAATGGTTATCTTTTGCCAAAGATGGGGCTGCACGATTCAAGTGCCCACTGTGTTAGCTGATAGCTGTGCGAGTCTTGAGAAGAAGGGCTGAGAATAAGATGAAATGCCAGGCCATGAACAAACTTCCAGGGACACGCTCCCAGCCCTTGAAGTATGTATAAGGTTGTAGATAACAGTTTGGTAGTACTCATAAACATAGAGGGAGCAGAGGCATGAAAATGCAAACCATAACAGTTGTGCAAATATAACAACAAACCCAGATGGTGGGTGAGTTTCTGGGCAGAGGAAAAGGAACAGGCTAGGGACTGGGCCCTGAGGGAGTCAGCGGATGGGAGTCAGTCAGGGTATGGCAAAGAATGGGAACTAGGTGAAGACTGGGGAGAACATCCCAATGGGATAGATTTCTTCCTTGTCTATTATGCTGGTTTTTTCAAGGTGGAGTAGAACTATGTATGTTTGAAGAGAGCTTGGCTACCTGCATTAATTATTAATACAGCACAGTACTGTCATCCTATTTAATGCATCTCTTTAGATTATTTCTTTATTTAAAGCATTATTGTGAACTATAGAAGAGAAACCCCTAAAAGATTTCCCTTATAGTGTTGTCACAAGACAATGGGCCTAGAAGGGAGCCAAGTAACTCAAATGGGTTGGACACACATGTTCCTAAACCAATCCAGAATATATCTGTTTATTTTCAAAATGATTATAGAAAAATAGTTGGCAGCTTTCCTCAGTGGCCTATGATACTCTCTAATAACACTCACTTCCTTTTGTTTAAAATACAAAAATAGAGACGAAACTCTAACATGCCAATCAGTAAATGTTACTTACTTACTATAAACTTGGTTTATCTTATATGAACAACAATCAAAAATAACGTGGGAGCCATAAACTGCCGTCATCTGGCAGCAGTCTCCTGTTCTTAGGAACATTGGTGGATTGAGGTTGTGGTTCTCAAAGGGACTTAGTATTTTGGGCAAAATTTCCAGGACACTGTGTTCTACTGAACATCAACAATCTCTGTCCAATCAAAGATATCCTTTAAAGATTAGAGGCCACTCTGGAAGGGTCTGAACGTTTCAGTGTGCAGTACAGGCACAAAATGAACTTGACCTTTGCTCAAGACTTTTTCCTATTATTTTTAAAGAGCGGTAGACATATGGGAGTATTCCTGAAGTTCCTGCCTCACTCTTTTAGGTTGTAAAGGCATTTCTGCTGAGAAGATTTAGGATTTAAGATTCTGTGGTTTAGGATTGAGAAACTACTGATACCTTTGTGAGAAAACTATGCATTCCATTTAAGAGGCTGAGAAAATCTGATTAGCAGGCAGTTCTCAGCGAACAGACATCTCAGGGCCCTCCCACTGCACTACTTTGGAGATTCAAACATGCAAAAAGTAGTCTCAAGAGTTATCTTGTGTAGAAGTAGGCCATAAAGGAACTAAGTCTTCCAGGGGCTTCTGAGAAAGTCAGAGGTGACATGTAGGTGACAGTTTCTACATATATGCATTTGTTTAGTAGATTTTGGTTTTCTGTGGATTAAGAGCAGAGAAGCTAGGAAATGATGAGTGAAATTAATAAAATCCCTTTATCAACTTGGTGCCTCTGTCAGCAGGATAAAAATTAATGTAATGGTGGGTCTTTATTAACTTCTTAGAATATTCCATGGCACCCATTCCTACCCGTGTTTCCCCGAAAATAAGACATCCTCCGAAAATAAGACCCAGCGCATGGAAAGATAAGACATCCCCTGAAAATAAGACCTAGCGCAACTTTGGGAGAAAAAATTAATATAAGACACTGTCTTATTTTCTGGGAAACAGGGTAACAAAGATTGCCAGGCTAGGCTCTTCTCTCTCACGGAACTCTTCATTTCTGCCATTTCTGTTCAACAAGGCTAAGCTCATGGGGCTTTAGGAGCTTGCATGAAACCATACTGTGTTTGGCGCTGCCCTGAGAAGAACTTCCATTAGGAATGTGGGGCATGTTTTGTTGAATTATATTTATAATACTTTTCTTTTTTTTAAATATATTTTAGTGACTTTTTACAGAGAGGAAGGGAGAGGGATAGAGAGTTAGAAACATCGATGAGAGAGAAACATCGATTAGCTGCCTCCTGCACACCCTTACTGGGAATGTGCCTGCAACCAAGGTACATGCCCTTGACCAGAATCGAACCTGGGACCCTTCAGTCCGCAGGCCAATGCTCTATCCACTGAGCCCAACCAGTTGTGGCTGTAATACTTTTCTTAATGTCCTCAGATGATTGAGCATATTTAATTTTTTAAAAATAATGTTACAAAGCAAAGATAAGTTTTTGTGAGGCTATTAACTTGAGTATAAATTCATCTTATAGAGGAAAATGTAAAATTTCCCAATTTTAATTAAGGGAAGAATTATAACAAGAACCAGCTGTTGTGAAGACTGCTGGTGAGCTGACCTAATCTTATTCTCTTCCCTCTCCATAGCTATTTCTGTGTTCTGGGTAAAATGTCTCTGCCTGTTTCTCTCAGAATATAGTCCAGCATTTTCCAAAGATGACCTTGTTTCCTCAACACCATCATATGCCCCAGAGCTTTTTAGTCTCTGTTTTTACTCTTTAGAATTATAAAAATATGAGGGGAAGGTTTGTAAGTGTCACATTTCAAAGTTCTCTCTGGGGAAGTTTAAGATGTCTCTAGAACAAGCCTATCTCAACATTTCATCAACCATATGGGAAGCCGGAAAATAATGTTTATGACCAAATGCTTTGGGAACAGAGAATTTCCTTTCTACTAGTTTCTAGCTAATGTCCCCGGGATTTAATTTCCTCATATATAAAATTGGGATATTCATAGTGCTTGCCTCTTCAGGATTGGGGTAAGCATTACATAAGATAATGCATATGAAGAGCTTAGGCCAGTGCCAGGCATGGAGAAAGATCTTAATAAATGTTAGTAATGATGATAAAGAATTTGGAGGCTTGAAAAGTATTACAGCAGAACAACATGGTATTCTCAGATAAGAAATCAGATCATGTAATCTGCCAAGGTTATTTGAATTTGTTACTGTGGAGGAGAAAATCATTTCTTTGTCACTTACTGGCTGCATATATTTTTACTCAGTTGGAGTGTGTGTGCACACAGGAATGCAGATGCTGTTATGTTTTATGTCCCTGCCTTGATGGTCAAGAGTTTTGTGTTAGCCCTTTCTAAAACATCCAACACAGCTATTAATGTTGTAAAGCGCACACAGTAGGCCTTCTACAAATATCTAATGTTTTTATTTGATAAAAATCACTATCTCATGCAAAATTAGTAGATATTGCGACCTTACGAAGATTTACAAGATGTTTATTTTTAAAGAAAAAAAGAATTGAATTAAGAAATAAGGCCTTAAAAACTACCTAGACCTGTTATTTTTGAGGATCCTGTTACTTCGAAAATGGCTTTTAGGTTCGCTGGTTTTGAGTTTTTAACCTGTTAACCGAGTGGGACCTATAAATAAGTCAAATTTAAACACTATCAGGAACGGGTAGGACATATGAATACATCCTTGAAATATATGTTGCGTCCTAAGAGGGACGGTATGTATTTTTTGTAATCTTTATAATTGTAAAATTTATAATTTTTTTAATTCCATCTTTCTATTTTTTTGTTGGTATTCTTTTCTATTTGTTTGTAATTTTGTATTTTCCTTTGTGCTTTATATATAAATAAATGAAAAAATATATATTTCATTTATTTTAATTAAGTATAAATAAAAAAAATAATAATATAAAATTACGTCCGCTGGGCGTGACGTACTGACACGTCCTAGTGAAAGAGTATGCGCTCGTTGTACGTTGCATAATTAAAAAGGGAACTCCCCAGTTTACAGGTTAAAATGCTGACCTCACTCAACTCATTATCCTTTTGTTTTTATGTTACAGGGGAAAACTTACCCATTTCGCGGTGCCTTCCCTCCAGTCTGGAACCCCATTGCATATCTGGATTACAACAATCTGTGGCGGACAATGGATAACATGGGAAAGGAGGTAAACAATGTGCTCAGCTAGCACATGACCTGTTTCTAAAACAACAATAGCAGCTCTTTAATATCCTTCCACAGCAAAGGGAACATTGCTCTGGATAATGACACAAATCATTTCCAATACACCCATAGCTCTGCAAAGTTGGTAGTATTTCCACTTTATAAACGAGGGAAATTAGTTCCAACGGGTTATGTAATTTCCCAAGACCACACAGCAAGGTAGCCAGTATTCAAACCTACACCCATCTAATACTAATGCCTGTGTGCTTTCGCTCTGTGCCACTGAGAACCTAGTGATTTATGTTCACCAGGTATCCTACTTAGAGTTGTCTTTACCCCTATGTGATGCCACTTCAGTAGTAAAGGAGAGAAATATTTGCATCCCTAAAGCTTTTTGTCTTAGTCTCAGGCTTTGTAACATCACTCTTAAGCTTAAATTGGGGACTTAAAAATGGGTGTTAACTTCAGATAATAATTATCATCAAAATTTATTAATTTTATATATGTATTACATATTAACACATGTATGTATATGCTGCTATTGTTGTTGTATTGCAACAGCATTAGGGCATAGAGTCCAAAGGGGTATCCATCCCAAACTTACCAGTTTTCAGAGGTTTTTTCTTAGGACACCTTGGCAGAACAGTGGGCAGTAACCATTACACCCGCATATGAGCCCTTCTTTCTCTGTAGATTCCAGCTGATGCACCATGGGATGCCCCGCATGCCGAAGAATGGGACAGAATTACGATGAAAGAACTCTTTGATAAAATCTGCTGGACAGAGTAATTTTGATTATTTAAAATTTACTTTTATATTCCATCCTGATTCTTTCTATCTCATCTTGAACTGCAGCATTTTTCTTTAAAAGTCACTGGGAAAGAGTTAAGAGGAAACCTAATGATTCTCCAGTCAGTAGCAACATTGAGGGCACTTAGAGATTTCAGAGCAGGTTTGAACATAAAATGAACCTAAAACATAAGTAGAAATTAGGTGAATGAAGTAGAACTTTTTTAAATAAAAAGGTTCTGTGATTTGCAATAAAACAAGTACTAATGTTTTCAGATTATATAGCAGTCCACTACAGAAGCAATTTGGAAAGATATTAAAGTAATTCCATGTAGATATAAAAATGTGAAACTAGAGGGACACTAGTATATTTAACAAAAATATAAACTATATACTCTTTTCAATGAAAATCTGTGTTATTACCCGAGTTACAGATTATTCAGTCACCATGTGGGGCTGCTGTGTGATAGCACTGTACCAAGCATTGAGGAAGGGTGGTGAATTTGTCAAACAAGGCCCCGACCCCTTTTTAGCAGGAGACTGAGTGTATGGGAAAAGTTACATAGTGCTAGGAGAGTGTAAGAATGAACTTGAAATGTCAGAGAATAAGGGTGGTATTCTGTTTAAAGATTGGAGTGACTGTGTTGGGAGACAGGAAGGATATATGATGTAGAAGGATGGTACCTTCCAGCTATAAATCACATTTTATGGGGGTATACAAGATGAAGGGATTCTGTGGGGGATGGTATCTTCCAGGAATGAGCCACCGTGAGTGGTGGGAATTATGAAGGGTAGATGATTTGGAGAAGTTATTTTCCAGGTGCAGAGAATAGCAAACAGTTTTTCTAATGGCTGTGCAACCCTTTGGTGCATAGGACAATGCCCACACTGACCAGGGCACATGCCTGGGTTTTGGGAAGCAGCCGATTGATGGTCCACTCTCACATCAAAGTTCCTCTCTCCTTCTTCCATCCCCTCACTCTCTCTCTAAAAAAATTCATTGGCTATAAATTTAGAGAGGCATAAAGAGGGAATATAAGAGAACCATTTAGGGATAACCATGAGCAGCCACGATTGTAACCCAGTTGATAGTCATTGGTGGCCTGGACCAAGGTGGGGCCTGTGGAGGTGGAGAGTAGAGGATGGTTATTCAAATATGTGAGAACAGGTATCTTTAATTATCCTTGAGAAGCATATTGATCCTTTAGACTCCACTGGGGTTAGCATATTTAGAGTTGACCCATAATTCCTAAAAATAAGGGGAAAGTTTATTTTTCCAAAGAGTTAAAATATGCATTCATTCATATATGGAATTCATGAGTGTTTTTTCATAGCCATAGAAATGTCTTGTAACCATACTAAATTGTGTTTTAAAACCATGATATCCTGTGAAGTATATCTGTATTAACCTCTGATATCTGCTCTTGTTCTGTGACAGGACAGCCAGGCGGTTTGCTTCTCTCTTTGTGAACATCAATGTGACCTCTGAGCCTCACGAGGTGTCTGCCCTGTGGTTCCTGTGGTATGTGAAGCAGTGTGGTGGCACTACCCGGATTTTCTCGGTTACCAATGGGGGCCAGGTATGGAGTGTCCTTTTGCAAATATAACTTCATTTGAGAGTTTTGCCCTCATCCAGATCGATCTATAATAAGAGCATCTTATGCTAATTAGACTGGATGTCCTTCCAGGTGGCCTTCCAGACGAAGCTGGGGCTGCGAGGGAAGCTCGGGTCCTAGTTGCTGGAGGGAAGCCAGTGCTGGCAGCCGGGGCAAGGAAGGCCTACTCTTGCACGAATTTCGTGCATCTGGCCTATAGTATCTTAAAAATTGCTTCTACATTTTGAATACAAACAATGAGCAGCTTGAAATGATCCCAAAAACATTTTCTGAAAACAAAATTTCTCACTTCTTTTTCTTATTTCTGAAAATAAATTTACAGCTTAAGAATTTTTATTTTGAATTAATTTCGTCTTGGGAATTAACTTCTTTTCTTTTGGAAGTAGGTAAATTAGGCTATCTATGTAAGGGGGAGCTAAATTACTATAATAACTAACTTCCAAAAATTTATAGGACAGCTGTTCTCCTCCTCTCCCATCCACGGTTTTTCTCTTAGTGATTTCAGTTAGCTGCAGTTAATTACAGTCTGAAAATATTATATGAAAAATTCCAGAAATAACCAACTAATACATTTAAATTGTGCAGGGTTTTAAGAAGCAAGGTGCAATGTCACATCCTCCTATTGTATCTTGCCTGGGACTTGAACTGTCCCTTTGTCTAGTGCAAAGTACTGATGCTGGCAATTCACATATGCCAAAGAGAAGTCACAAAGTGTGTGTGTGTGTGTGTGTGTGTGTGTGTGTGTGTGTGTGTGAAAAACAGTGTATATATATATATATATATATATATATATATATATATATATGGTTTGGTTCTAAGGTTTCAGGCATCTGTGTGTCTTAGAACATATCACATCAGACAAGGAGGGGATTACTGTACTTGTAAAATTATTGTACTTAAAGTAATTTCTGCTCCAGACATAAAGCTTTTTTTTTTTTTTTTTTTCCCCATGGTGAGTATAGCAGATCGCAGTGAGGCAGAGCACTTAGAGGGCTGCTCAAGGGAATTTCTTAACAATCTCTGGAGGAACAGACAGGTGCTTAGCTTTCACCTTGCTAAACTTTTACACATTTTTTCAAGAAGTTACTCAATGTCTGAGATTCAGATGCTTAGAACGTCAAAGGGTGATGACCAGATATTTATTTACAAGGGCACTCTGAGCCTGTTCTCTTGGAGAACACTTTAATTTTCCTGGACAACCTTTGGCTAGCGCTTTGAGAAACCAAGGGGAGTTAGAAACTGAATCCCCATTTCAATGAACCTAGAAAAAATACTATTTTTTTAATAAAAGAAACCATATCCCTTGGGGGGAAGCACAACCCCTCCAAAGGTTCCCCCCATACACCGCACCCCTGGGCATTGGAAGCCCTCAGACTTGCTGATATTTGCATTCAGTCAAGGGAACATGGTGTAAGGGGACATTTCTTTTGATTCTGTGACTTTATAAATTAGGACCTGCTTTTCATTGCCAGAAACTGCAGAGCATGATAATAGAGGTCTCTTGATAGACTTTGCCTCTGACCTAATGAATTCATCCAATGATTAAGTGTACAGAGGGGGAAGGTTTGGCTTCTGGCTTACTAAAAGTTTTCTAATCAGTGGCAAACAGGATATTCCTTCCTTGGGCTTTTATAACGTTTCCTGCCTGCCTGCTCCCGCAGGAACGGAAGTTTGTAGGTGGCTCTGGTCAAGTGAGCGAACTGATAATGGAGCGTCTTGGGGACAGAGTGAAGCTATGTCAGCCTGTCACCTGTGTTGACCAGTCAGGTGACAACATCATCGTACATACGTTGAATGGTGAAGTTTATCAGGTAATACAGTCTAGTCAAAAGGAGCATATATTAAATAGGCCTTATGTCTTCCATAACTTCTAACCAAATATAATCCCAGCAGTGGCATAATTAAAGCTGGCATGTTTCCTACTCAGTCTCTTTCAAATGACCAGCCTTGGTTGACCTGTCTTGTTGTTTTTTCTCTTATAGCGACCTCATTTTGTATGCTGTTTCTGCTCAGTATCATTCAAAATGATACGTATGTTTCACGCTCTCTGCAAATATTCTGACTTACATTTGAGGTGGTATTTTGTGTTTGTGTCTTTTAGTGCAAATATGTAATCAGTGCCATCCCGCCCACTCTGACGACGAAGATTCACTTTATTCCAGAGCTGCCAACTGAGAGAAACCAGTTAGTGCAACGCCTTCCAATGGGAGCTATCATTAAGTGTATGATGTATTACAAGGAAGCCTTTTGGAGGAAGAAGGGTAGGCTGCATTCATTCATGTTCAAATTATACTAACTGAAGAAACTATTTTTTTTAAGTAGCATTATACTAAACACTGAATAGGGAGAAAAAAAAAAAAAACATAAGTGGTTTCAGACTGATAGAAAAAGGAGCAGAAATTCCAGTTTGTTCGTTTCCTCATAACACAAAATGACCCCGAGAATACTTGCTGGCAGTGAAAGAGAAGGAAGAGATCCCTCTAGTTGCATGGCCACCATTACCCTGGCTCCTGGCATATGGCCTCCCATTTATTCTTCATGAGTAGAGTGAGACAAAGGGCCATCATGGAAAAAGCACTGCTCTGAAATCTCACTTTCCTGGGTTTCCCTTGCTTGCTACCTTTTTTCCCTGAAAATAAGACAGTGTTTTATAATAATTTTTTTCCCAAAGTTGCACTAGGTCTTATTTTCAGGGGATGTCTTTCCATGCGCTAGGTCTTATTTTCGGAGGATGTCTTATTCTCGGGGAAACACGGTAGCCGTGTGGCCTGTGGTATGACACTTCACCTCTCTTAGCATCAGTCTCTTTGTGTAAAATGGTAACAATGAGACCTACTGTCAGATTATTGTGAAGATTAAATGAGGCAGGTTCTGGGCAGATATGGTAGCTGTTGTTGATAAGCCTTTTGCTCATACTCAGAGGATTACTTCCTGCCACTTCTTCCATGAGTACATTGGGGTGATTCACTCTAACACACCCCTATCTTTCCCCTATGTATTCCAGGGTTCCAAGATCATCTTACAATTTTAGTCATGCATTTATGTAAAGGCCATCAAGATACATCATTTTCTATGTGTCTGGTGAATATACATCTTGTATAAGCAAGTGTGTGTATTTGACAGGAAATAGATTATAGGGTTAGGGCAAAGACCAATAGTTTAAGCTTTGCCTTTCCCTTAGCAAAATAGTTTATATGTATACATTTCCCCTTGAATCTCTGATTTGGTGATTCTCGATAGCCTATTGATTTTCTTCTGGTTAAGGCTACTGTGGTTGTATGATCATTGAAGATGAGGAAGCTCCAATTTCAATAACCCTGGATGACACCAAGCCTGATGGATCATACCCTGCTATCATGGGGTAAGTTTGTGCTGGGTGTTCTGCATTTTCCAAATGGTGTTGGTGTATTGTTGTGGACCCTGGCAGAGCATATTGTTTTCAAATTGAGCTCAAGCAATGATAATATAACCCTACAGAAAAACATACTGTTTCCATATATTAAAACATGGAATATTTTGTATTATACTTAGCACAAGAGTAATATTTTGTACTTAGCACAAGAACACTGGGAAGCTTTACCCAAATTGACACCATTTGAATTTGTGCCCATATGTTTTTCCTCCATAAAACTTATATATTGGTGGCAGTGAAAGACACAACAAAATAGTTGGTATGGTAAACAGCCCTGCGTAGAGATAGAATGTCCACAACCATTCTGGAATGAGAAGTTTTTATAATGTAAAATCTTCTGAAGTTAGGGTTTCTGGGATTTCTCCATTGCAAGCATTGCTACATGAAAACTGTTAATGTGTTCATTGTTTCCCTGGGATATAAAATGGGTGTCTAATTAGGAAGTGCAGATTGAAGCAGAGCCAGGCCTCAAGTAGATGGCAATTTTCCTAATAGGTCACTCCATGGCTGTCCTTCACCAAGGATGGTACAACAAGTTCAGTGTCTGGAAGAGGAGAGCTCTTCTCCTCTCCTCCCAACCCATACACAACTGCTCTGCCTTTGAGGACTAGGGCTCCAGAGAGGGAAGGGGGTTGCCATAGACTGCTAAGGAGTGCCCCCGTCTCCCAGTTGTCATGATGCCTTTTAGCCCTCTTCAAAGCTCTGCAAAGAAGAAGGCTGTTTATCCTACCACATGACAACAAAAGAAAACAGCTCATCTAGCAGTCAGGTGACTTTTAGGGACCAGTGATTTTCCCCTTACCACTGGGAGAGTTGAGCTCATGCATGTGGCATCTTTGAAGGAAAATTACCAAAACGAAAGGAGCCAGACCCATGATCCAAGGGACTTAGAGAACAGGCTGGGCTACCAGGCTGCCAACAACACATTCTGTGGTTCTCTGGCTGTAAAACAGAAGCAGCAGCAGCAGCCTCTCTCCAACGGCAGGTGCTCACAACGAAATAACCACAGTAACAACACGTCTTCAGATTGTGCAGTTTGGCATCAGCTCTCGATGCCAAAAGAAAGCAGGAGGCAGACGTAGAGATTTTGGGAGACTCAATCAAGATGAGTCCACTTGGGGATGGAAGAACAGCGGTCCTCTTCTTGCCCTGAGAGTTAGACATTGGAGCATCTGCCTGGCTGGGCTTTCTTCAGCTTTATTAACAAGGACCTAGATAGCAGGTCCCAGAGGGTAATGGGGTTATTTAGGCAGTTCCTAAAATGTTTTATCTGGACTACTGCCTCCACCCTGTTCTTGCCTTGAAACTAGATTGCCTCCACCCTGCTCTTTGCTCTGGGCAAGGAAAGCCTTGAAGATAGGAGTACTCATTGCCCAGTATTGTGTTTGTGATTATTAGCACCTTTTGGAAACTAGAAAGGAACTTGTACTTTAGAACTGGGTAATGTTCCCAACCCAAAGCCAATGTGTTTGATTTCCTCAATAAAGCACCAAAGAAATGTAAAGGATAGTGGTCCATACAGAAGTAAATCAAAGAGGTTATTTCATTCTCAATCTGAGGTTCAACAGAAATAACCACCAACTGCCCTTTAAAAAAGAAACTATATAAAGCACCGTGATCTAAACAGTTTTTTTTTTTCAGCTAAATTATTTAATCTTTCATCAGATATTGGTGGTTTCACTGAAATAATTACATAAGTCTAAAATGATAGATTCTTGAATAGGCTTAACATTTAAAATCATTACTAGCAAGACAGAACATAAAGTGTTAAGTCAGGCAAAATTATGATTATATCCCATAAAGTACAATAGTTCAAATTTCTTAAACAGACTACAACTTCATCTAAAATACTGGATTAACACCAATATGTTTTGTATCTTTGCTTCTCAGAATGATCTCAAATAATGGCTCTAAATGATTTGCCAATCAAATTGAGAAACAATCTATTAGGAGGTGAGGGAGAGGACGAAATACTGGTTTTTAGCCCTTGCATTTTCAGTCCTGGTCTATTTGTCTTTTTGGCTAGAACAAAATACAATTTTTAAACCCTTTAAAATGGAGATATAATATCATTGTCCCTTAACTCATTTGCATTTTTAAAAAATTATTTTCTAATAAGAGTATAACTAAGGATTTCTTGTCACAATTCAGTTCTTTAAAATATACATGCTATTAGTAGGATAAGTATAATAAATAGAATCTGTTTGATTAAAGGGAGACAAACAGATTCCAACTGAATTTTACTAAGTTACTAGATTTGGAGAATGTGCTCGGTGAGTTTCCAGGAAGCCCGCTCAGATAGGAGATCTGGGTGCAGGAGGCTTACTGGGAAGGGAAGGAATCTGGATCAGGCGGAGGGAGAGGTTGGTTTCCAATGTTGATCCGGTGGAGGCCTAAGCTATCCCACAGTGAGCTCTGGAGCTGGAGGACCCTTCAGAGTGTCCTGCATTGAGACAAGGGCTGAGCCTTGGTACCCACTGCACTCCCAAGCTGGTCCTTCTGGGGAGAACCAGGTAGTTTTCTGCTGCAGAGTGGAGTCAGCTGTGAGCTGCAGGCAATGGGTGCTTGGTGCTGAAGAGGAATCTGGGTGACCTACCCTGGCATCCAGTACAAAGACTTATTTATATTTACTTTTTCCAGCTTTTATAAAGTATTTAACAGAAGGCAGTAGTCATTACCAGGATAATAATTTAATGCAACATTAATTTTTCTGTCATTTGATTTCCTACTGTATACCAAAAACAGTAAAACTTTCAGGGTAAATATTGAATAGGACGCCACCTGTCATTTAGAAGCCCACAGCTTAGCTGGGGTTTTGGATTCAGAGGCAGACTGGCGACAGCATGGCATTTGTTCTAGTAGAGATAAATATTAGGAGGATGTGGGTGGTTTTGTTAATTCTGAGTATATGGAAGCAAGAACACTTCAAAAACAAGAGCCATCTCTTAAGATAAACCATTGTCACCTAATCGTTCAAATGTAACCTCTCTTTCCAGCTTCATTCTTGCTCGGAAAGCTATCCACCTCGCTAACCTTCAGAAAGACCAAAGGTGAGATTTTACTTATCAAATATTGGTTAGCTTTATATTGTGTGTTTTTGCACTGACAATATAATATCATTATGAAAAACAAATCACTATTATTCTCAAAATCCTAATAAATCAACCTTTTGTATTTTGCTACAGCCCCTCAAACACAGTCCTTACCCATAAGCTTATATTAATTTAGTTTGCATATTTTTCTTAACTTTTATAATGGTTGAGAAGTCAGGGTTTTCCTGTAAGGTGGATGGAGAAAAATCATAAAGACGTTAGCTGTGAAGAAAGTTTTAGAGGCTCAGTCCCAATCACCTTGCAAGACCATTATCCCTTTACTACAGTTCTCTGACATACACTTTTTCTGAAAAGCAAAATCCATACATATGTGTTTCTACCTGTTTCAACTCAATAGAGAAAGAATTGTGGGTCCAGTGATCGGGGATGATTTGGCGAAGGCATATTTAGCTTATCACAAAGTCAGGAAGGGCATCTAATGCATACTTTCATTATGTCATACTAAGCTTGATATTTTCTTTTGGATTTCCTGCTTCCCCTCTTTACTAATAGTAAAATAAATATCAGCCTGAGTGTAGACATTGGTTATGATTCCAAATGGTATCTGAACTTCTCAAAAGTTTTTATATGACAAAACCTTTAGAAGCCTGAATATGTCATTGACTGGAGCAACAGTTCAAGAACCCACTATATCAAAATCTTCTATAGAATGTTTGATGTTGTGTGTATGCCTGCATACACACATGAATGTTACACAGCAATAAAAATGAATGAAATCTTGCCATTTGTGACAACATGGATGGACCTAAAGGCTATTATGCTAAGTGGAATAAGTCACACAGAGAAAGACAAATACCGTGTGGTTTCTCTTACATGTGAAATCTGAAACAAACAAAACCAAACTCATAGAAAAAGAGGCCAAAAGGGATGGTTGCCAGAGGGAAGGGTTGCAATGGGATGAGCAAAAAGGGGGAGGGGAATATAGTCACTAATGTTGTGATAAGTTTACATGATGACTAGAATTAGTGAGGTGATCTCACTACATTGTATACCTGAAACTAATAGAACCAATATAAGATTGTGTAACAACTATACTTAAATTTTTAAAAATGTTTGGAAAAAATATTTTTCTGAGGATGATAGATTATGATTCGGTAGGTTAGAAGTGGGGCCTGAGTATTTTTTTAACAAGTTTTTTAAGTGATTGTGATGAGCAGCCAGGTTTAGAAACCAGTGGGTAAATTCAACTACAAAGTGATTTACAAGTGACCTCTTTTGGCCATCATTAAAATATGTCCTCTCATTTTCAGAGCCCAGCTAAACAGTCAGTGTATTGCTCCAGTGTATTAACTTTTCCAAAATGTTTTAATTTTAATGGGAGCAAGGAATGGGGAAGAGAATTTCCTGATATATTTGTATGAACTTATTCTTGACTCAACTAATAATATTAAATATAGTAAATAATGACATATTTCTATTATAACTGATTTATCACTCATGCATGAAAAATTAGCTGCAATGTAGCTTGATTAGATTTTAGGTTTCACTCTGTTTTAATAAATATTTTAAAAAATATTTTTATTGATTTCAGAGGGGAAGGAAGAGAGAGATCAATGATGAGAATCATTGATCGGTTGCCTCTTGCACGCCTCCCCACTGAGGATGGGGTCTGCAATCCAAGTATGTTTTCCTTGACCAGAATCAAACCCGTGACCCTTCTGTCTGCAGGGTGATGCTTTACCCACTGAGCAAAACCAGCTAGGGCTGTTTTAATAAAGATTTTATTATATGTCCCAAAAATAAGTTAAACCTTATTAAGTTTTTCAGAATGATGATCAATACTTTTGCTTTCTAATCGACTCAGAATGTTGGCATTATTCCTTGTAACTTCATGTGAAGTATGTAAGTATCAGTCATCTATATCTACATCATAGAGGGTACCATTCTAGGCTGAGGATGGACTTTCTTTTAATAAATGTTTTATTGAGCACTTACTACAGGTGGGACACTCAAGAGTGTTGAACCTCAGCCCTGTCATTAATTAGCTGAGTGATGTGGAACAATTCTCTTCAGTGCACTGAGCCCCAACCTTCTCATCTCTAAAATGAGGAGCTTGGATTAGACAGAGAGAGACAGAGCATAGTAGGTTTTTTAAAAATACATTAAAAAAATATATATTTTATTGATTTTTCACAGAGAGGAAGAGAGAGGGATAGAGAGTTAGAAACATCGATGAGAGAGAACCATTGATCAGCTGCCTCTTGCACACCCCCTACTGGGGATGTGCCCACAACCAAGGCACATGCCCTTGACCGGAATCGAACCCAGGACCTTTCAGTCTGCAGGCCGACGCTCTATCCATTGAGCCAAACCGGTCCCGGCTAAAAAACATTTTTATTGATTTCAGAGAGGACGGGAGAAGGAGAGAGAGATAGAACATCATTGATGAGAGAGAATCACTATTCGGCTGCCTCCTGCACACCCCCTACTGGGGATCAAGCCTACAACTCGGGCAGATGCCCTGACTGTGATCTCTTGATTCATGGGTAGAAGCTAACCACTGAACCACACCAGGCAAGATGACAGTAGTTTTGAGAGTACTTCCAGTTCTGCCTTTCCTTTACGACTAGTACAAACAGCTCCTTGAAGGGAAAACAAACTTTTCCTGTCTGTACTGGAACTTAAATAGCCACCTAATTTTGTGTGATATCACCTCAGGACCAGCATTTGTCTCTTCCTTAAAAAGTTCCATGGTAAAATGTTGGCAAGAGCCCTGGAACTGACAGTGTTTATTCTATACTCATAAGCTATTACTTCCTTAACATTTTGGTTCATTTTTTATAGAAAGAAAATAATCTGTGAGTTGTACTCCAAAGTGCTGGGAAGCGAGGAAGCTTTACAGGTAAGAACACCCAGCTTTAATACCTAGCAGGTTGTTTCAATTTGCTCCAAATGAATACACAAAGCAGATTCATGTTTTCTGACAGTCTTATGAAGAGAGTATAAAGGGATATGCTTACTGGGGGAGTAACTTCAGCAATTACAGGTCATTAAAAGCCGCTATCAGGTGCAAGCAGTTTCTGATGTAGTAATTCCTTGGACTATTTAAAGGTTCACTGAATAATTGGCAACCAGTTGTAGTCAGAGCCTGGAGCTGCAGGTATTATCTCCAGGGTAGATAAGATCAGTTCCCAGAACTGAGGGCTGTCCTTTCCTGTCATTGTCAACTGACTGCTGTGAAATAAAATCCCAGATACTTTATTATTTGGTGGTGAAGGGACCACAGTTTATGCTTGACAATGTAACTGAATGTAGACTCTGCCCAGGTCAAAGTCATGCTAATTTGTTTTCCCATTTGTAAACTTGATTCACAGCTCACTTAGGAATTTCAGTGCTTTCAATCCACCACTGAAAGCAATCATGAGCATGAAATTCTTTCTGAAGATCCTACCAGGTAGCTTAGGGCTCTTTTAGGAGATTATCTCTGATCTGTTCAAATAATAAATTTGCAAAACGTGTTAGGAAAATCATAGGAGGTCCGCTTATGTCCCTTGAGAAACATCTTCATCTTTAATTCTCCCCTTTTTATCAGAATTTCTGTCATTCACTTTTCTAGCTTAGAGAAGTGGTTCTGAAAAAGTAAATCTTAGACACTGCTTATTAATTCTTAGACTTCTTCATCCACTTTTTTTTTTCAGCAGTAATGCGCTGGTGGTTGGGGAAGCATCCATCTATTCTATTTAGAGAATCCAGAGCTTTGAGGAGACTTTTCCAGGGCCTGGTTACCGATGGGGTTTCCTGTAGACTTAGGTCTCCTCGTAGACTTCACAATCTGCCTGGAGATGCTCTGTGCCCAGATATTGGAATGCTTCACGTCTCCCCTAGTCAGGAGGTTGTGAAAGTCACAGTATACATGGTACCTCACAAAAGACCATTACTTGGCTTTGCTATGTTTCCCTTATTGTGCTAGAAAAACAGGTCCACCTTTTTAAAAACTGTGAACTTTTTGTTAAAGTAAAATACACAAGAGCCTTCATTGTTGACTGGTAGAATTTCAGCTTTCTCTTTTCTTTGGAATTTTCTTCCGATTGAACTCCAGCCAGTGCATTATGAAGAAAAGAATTGGTGCGAAGAACAGTATTCTGGAGGCTGCTACACCGCCTACTTTCCTCCTGGCATTATGACTAAATATGGAAGGTACTACCCAGACACTATATTGATTAATATAAGACATACCCTAAACTTACAATATGAGCAAAATTCAACAGGAATTTTAGAAATAGTTGTCAGCATTTTTATTTCTAATCTCATAAGTAGTCAGTTTGTATATCTCTAGATGTCCATAGAAAAACAAATATATGGGTACATAGAACAATAGCTGTCAGCACAGAGGTCAATAGCAGATACTGGTGAGGATTTCAGATATCAGCAGTACATGTGAGAATTCTGCAAGTTGCAGTGTCTTCCAAGAGGCCTTCTTGAGCTCAATTAGACATTTAGTCGCACACGACCACTCTAGACTCCTGGGCACCAGTCTACATAGAAGGACATGGGCTAAACATGTCTTGCCAGGAGACATATTCATCTTCATGGGGAGGCATCCCCATTGCATACAGCTAAGGCATGAGGAGGTGATAGCCACCCAAGGTGGAGGATTCCTTCTTGGCTTAGAAGCCCCATAGAAGCTATTGTCTTTTGCAACAACCTCATAGGCATGGTGTTTGGGGTCCCTGCAAGGGGCACCACACTCAGTGAAGCTCAACATGATAGCCTCCTGTTAGCTATTTACAATTCATGCCAGTCTTCCCTGCCCGGATGCAATTTATCATTGTGGGGCAGTATTGCCTGATAACATACATGGCATTATACCTTCATCAGGTTTTTAAAGGATCAGAGCTAGAAAGTTAACTGAAGGTCACGTTTGTCATGAGGAAGAAGAATTTATTAACCCTTTCCTTACATGAGATTATTTTTTATTATTAATTGAATGAAATTCTCGTCGTTAGTGATAGCAGGATTGGGTAACTGGAGTAGTTCTGAAGTCTATAAGATGGGACTAGGATTAGCAATAGATGAAGCAAAAAGAGTCCTAAGTTGGGAAAAGGTATGGCAGTAGGTTGAGGTAGAGGCCTTTGGATTAGAACGGTGCAGCTTGGGAAATTTTATGAAAGTGGCTGCAGGCATGGTAGGAGTCAAAGCCAACAATGTCAGAGAGGACAGCTGCCCATTCAATCCAGCCCTTCCGTGGTTCTCTTTGGCAAGAACTCTCTGTAAGAGAGGGTCCTTTACCCTTCCCTCAGCCAGTCTACAGATAAATTCATAGACACCAACTGTACAGAGTGTTTTTTAAGGAGACATATATATATATAATCCTTCAGGGTTTTTTTTTTAATGTGTTTTTATTGATTTCAGAGAGGGAGAGTTTAGCCTGTGTTAAAGTAACAAAGGGAGAGGAAGAGAGAATCATTGATCAGCTGCCTCCTGGACACCCCACACTGGGGATCAAGCCTGCAACCCAGGCCTGTGCCCTGACCAGGAATCGAACCCCTGACCCACGCTGGCCAGGCTCCCCTCAAGTCTTTTCTTTGCCAGAAATCATTTAATCTTCCTGTCTTCCTACTTGCCAGTATAGTTATTCCTGACAACCTGGGAGTGCCTGCATGGCTGCGGTGTGATCCTTGCAGAATCCACCCCTTTGGAAAGACAGTGTAGAGAACAGAATGGACTTCAGATATAAAACATACAGCAAATAAATCTGACTGGATTTAATGGATGTGCTTATATTCCAATTCTAGATGGCTAGGAAAAGGTCGATATCACCTGTAATGATTGATGATCTGACAGCCTGATTCTCTCTGGCTTGAAAGTTTGGGCCCTTGGGTGCAGGCCCTGGGAATAAGGAAGAGCCTTTCACCTTTGGCTGAGTCACGTGGGCCTTTTTGAAACAATTTGAGTTACCCTGTCTTCTCTGGGATAAAGGAGGGCAGAAATTGGCTCATTAATCCTCAGTGCCTTCTCAGGTAACTCTGTGATCTCTCTGTTCCCTTGAAGGATAATTCGAGAACCAGTAGACAGGGTTCATTTTGCTGGAACAGAGACTGCCACACATTGGAGTGGATACATGGAAGGAGCTGTGGAAGCCGGAGAGCGAGCAGCTAGATCGGTAAGGGATGAAGCCAAGTCAACCTCCCTCCTGAGTCTAGCAGTGTTTTTGATATCTGGCCTTTCTAGATCTTGACGTTGATAAATCTGTATGTCTACTTCTCTGCCCCTTACTCCACCCAGGGGGCTCATTGGTGGCCAGCAGGGCCTCAAATCTGTCAAAATTACAAAACCTCATTTCACAATACCATTGCCACTTTCTTTCAGATCTTGAATGCTCTGGGAAAAGAGACAAAGCAAGACATCGAGGAGCCTGAGTCAGAGGTAAGTTTGTCAGCTTCATCACCATAGACCAGTAACTACATGAAAAACACATATTTTCATCTTCTAGCCTCTGGTGTAATTGTAGGTGCCACTCTCCAAAGCGTATTCGTGCACTAGTTTTACAGATACGTTCTGCCCCTCTTTGTCAGTGCAGAAGTCTTCAGCTAATGATCTCTGTTTTTCCATCTAGGATGTCCCAGCTAAGGAAATCACACACACCTTCTGGGAAAGAAACCTCCCCTCCGTGCCAGGCCTGCTCAAGATCATTGGGTTCTCCACATCGGTATCCGCTGTGTGTTTTCTGGTGTGCAAGTACAGGCTGCTAGAACGATGCTGAAGCACTCTGTGCTTACTCTTTTCCAGTACCATCAGAAGGAAAACGTTGACAAATTAATGGCTGTGTCTCATTAGACTATTGTTAAGTGCACTGGATGTAACACCTTAGTTTAGCCTGTGTTAAAGTAAAAACAACTTACAGAATCCCACCTAATAATAACCGGTAAAGAGCATGCTCCATCTTATTTGTCTGTGTAGACTCATATTGTTTGATAGAGTAAATTCTGTGATCAGTTTCTTAATTTCAAGTTCAAGTGCTCATCAGAAATGATTTCTGTGACCTGTTTTTCTCCCCTTTAACATAAAATGCCTGGTGATTGCAGAAATGGAACCTTTCACTTTCTGTAGAGGTTGAATAGGTGAATGCCTAGGGTTAGCTTATCTCTCTATTTTCCCGTTTTTCTTCTTAAAGAGGAGAGTGTTTACCAAGGCATAATGACTAAACTGACTTTCTGTGGCTTCTGTGCAGCTCTCCGGGTGAGCAGAGTGAACTAGTGACAGGGTTGTCCCCATAGAGGCCTCGCTGGCTAGCTCTCCATGAAGCATCTTTTCTTCCTGGAAGATGGCTAGACATCACTTCACTCATTATTGACAACATTCTCTGCCAATTTCAAGAAAGCAGTATTTTCCTTTTGTAACTTTTATTTCAGGTAGACCCTGGCTGTATGAAAGCCCCTAGTGGCATATATTTTTTTTCTTTTTTCCTATGACCATAATAGGATTACAGAGCTGTTAACTTAAATATGTCTTTAACATAGTTAGCTTAGAGTAAAAGTTAGCACGATAATTTCTCTCAAATAACGGAAATAGACATTAAAATTTTCTTATTATTTGTTGAGACTATCAGATACAGAAAGGAAATTAGAACTCTGTATTATAAATTCACTTGCCTTAGTTATTAAGTTTTCTAAAAGAAATGGATTTGAGTGATTTCACATATGAACACTAAGTTCTCTTAAGGAGTAATGTGGGCCAAGAACAGTGCCTACCTCTTGTCTTTTGCATTTTAAAAACTGTCAGAATTTGAAAGCTGCTTCCAAAGTTTCAGCCACAAAACACATATTTTCTTAGTATCAATACCTGGGGAAAATATCAACACACATGTGATCAAATAAAGCAGTTGAGAAGGTTCAGTGGACTCAAGTACACAAATGGTGGGGATACAGTAACACCCTCTCCTGCATCATCAATGAATGAATGGTAGCTGAAACTTACTCCTTTATGTGCCAAAAAATTTAAATACAAGTATTGAAGAACATACTTCCACACATTATTAAACAAGCTACATTCAAAATATTATTTTTTCTCAGGTCAGTTATATGCCTCAGTTGTCTTATGCTTTTATCATAGAGCAGATACCATTGTGTTTGCCCCTTCACTAAGTATCACATTTGTTTTATATCTGTTGAGTCAACTGCTTCTTCTGTCTTCTGTATTCAGCGTTTTTTCCCCCCATATCTTTATCTCCTAACACTCCTTAACCTATTTTTTATTGAATGGGAATTAAAGACTGCCATAGGAAACCAACCCAAGTTTATTGCATAATTAACCTTATCATAAGTCCAAAATTAAGTAATGGCCCTGTGTGAGGACTTAAGGTATTTGTTTTGCCTATCTTAAGAGCAAAGAGCAAGGTTTTTATGCTGCTCTTTGCCTTTCATTTGAAAGGTGTCTTAGCTAATTTAGGAGTGTTGGCAATGTCTTGCATATGTTCTATTACATAAGGAGGTGCCACATATACCAAATCGCTTAGGGAGGTCACATCCCTGACCTATTTCAGTTGTTTGTTCAGTTAATGGTTAACTCAGTCGTGAACCTTATGGGGGAAAATTAACTGGCAAATTTCTCAGTAATTAGGTTGATAGGATATGCAAGTCTTGAATGTTAAAAAACTCCTGAGTATACAATTACCCTCTTCTCAAAATTTTTAGAAAAGTCCTAAGCTACAGATAATCAAAATGGATGTCAGTCCAAATGTGCATAAACTTGAAATCAGAGCTGAGAGCTCCCACCTTATAAGAGATTGTTTAACACCAGATACCATAAGCCTTTTCAATCTAGAGAAACTAGTTAGTTCACTCAGCTGATAGTGGGTTGCCCTGTTAAGGCGTCTTGTTTCACAGTTCTGAAGACTGAGTTGGCCTTACTCCATTGTAAGATCAAGAATTTCATTTTAAAAGTTATCTTTTTTTTTGTCATAACTGTTAAGTATTTATACTACACTGAAGAGAAATATTTTAAGGTCACAAACTACATTTTGTTTGTGAACTTGATGCCAATGTTCTGTCTGAAATGTGCCCCACTGCTACCTGTGGGACTCTGCATATGTGTGTTTTTGTTTGCAACTGAAATATGCTTCTGTGTGTATGGTACTGTTTCATTTCTTAATAAAGTGCACTGCCACCTGACTCAGACCTGGCTTCCCCATTTAGTGGCTAGTCCCAAGATGAAATGGCTTCTTACGGCAGGAGGTTCCAATGAGGGTAATGGAGGTCCATGGCTGATGGGTTTAACAAGCCACTTTGTTTTGACTTCACCTTCTCATAGTTGGTTTTCTCTCATGTTTTACCAAGGTTTCCTGGGGGCTGATTACATTTCAGAGTATTGTCTGCCCGGGCTCTCATCAGTCAGTGTAGAGTCTGGTAGAAGCTTTCTCAGCTAATTAGAACAAATCGCTTCAGTTCTCTGCCTAACTTTCCCGTCTGGAAAACAGGTGCTTATCAGTATCTAACTGTAGACTACGTGCAAATCACTCGGCCTTTCTGGATCTTGGTTCACTCCTTTGCCTTAGGCTAGGTTTCCTGGAAATAGACTGAGATGCAGTCAGGGCAAAAAGTTTATGAGGACAGCTCCCAAGTACAGGGATGAGGAAGGTGGAATTAGACCGGAGTTGACCTTCAAAACAGTTGCAACTGAGGCCTCAGCAGATCCTGAGGAGGAGCTGGGAAGGCCCTTCAGAATTACCCCCCACTGAGGCCAGGGGGTCTGGCCTCTGCATTCCTTCATTAGCCATCCTCTGTGGGGGAGTGCTACTTGGGGTGCGGAACTGCAGCTGTGAACTGACATCAGCTTGTATTCCCAGAACCGGGGGACCCAGGGCGGGCACCACAGACCCACTTCACTTGCTGTGAAAATGTATGGTGCCCTTGGTCATGTAAAGGATGCTGTGGACTTGAGCTTTGGGTTTTATAAACAGAATGGAGCTATTGCTGTGAAACTGCCCCTGTTAGATAAGGTGATTTTTTTTCTTCTTTAAAAAAGTTAAATTCTTTATTGTAGAAAGTATTACATGTCTCCTTTCCCCTCCCCCACTGACCTCTCCCCTGCTGTTCCCACCCCCCAGCACAGACCCTCACCCCTGCCCCCCTAGTGTCTGTGTCCATTGGTTATGCTCATATGCAAGCATACAAGCCAGTTGGTTGATCTCTTCTCCACCCCTCCCCACGCGCGCACACACACACACACACACACACACACACAATCCCCTGATTTCCCTCTGAAGTTTGACTGTTTGATGCTTCCCTATCTCTGGATCTGTTTTTGTTCATCAGTTTATGTTGTTCATTATATTCCGAAAATGAGTGAGGTCATGTGATATTCATCTTCCCCTGACTGGCTTATTTTGCTTAGCATAATGCTCTCCAGGTCCATCCATGCTGTTGAAAATAGAGTTCTTTCTTTTTTACAGTAAGGTAATTGTTTTTAAAAGATTGTATTTCTTGGGCTCTGGGCAGAGAAAGGAGGGAGTGGTGGCGCGGGGCTACTGGGGTCTCTTCCAGACACCCCTCCTCCCTCCAGTCTTATCCCAGCCCTGAGTGCACACCAGAAGGGGGAGGGGGTGTCGTGGGCTGGGACACACCCCAGACAACACAAACTGGAGGAAGGGAGAAATGTCACCAAGGACCCAGGCCCTTTTCTTCCAGTTCCCCAGCAGGGCACGCCCCGCTGGACACTCCCTCCTTAGCGCCCGCTTAGTCCCCTGGCAGTCCACGGCTGACAGCCTAGCCCTTGCCCTGCACCCTTGCATGTTCCCTCTCCAGGTAGCTGCTTCAGCTTCCACTTTGGGGAAGGTTGCACCTAACTCCTACTTCCCTGGGGCGCCCTCCTCAGCTCTATGGCCGAGTTCAAGTTTGTGCCCCTCCTGGGATCTATTGAGACGACAAACTTTTGAGAGGATAAAAATCAAGAGAAGCCGGTCCAGAGCAGAAAATCCTTCCTCACCTGCAGGTCTGCCCCAGCCCATGGGGGTGGAGTTGCCATTGCTTTCACAGGTTGAGGGCTTGCAGGGAGGTGAAGTCAGAGATGCCAGGGACAGCCTGACTAGCTGGACCCACCGCCATCCACATCTGCTCAGCAAATTAGGGAAGGCTCACTCCAGGCCTTGGTGCAGCAGATGCAGACAGCTGCCCAGAACTGCGCCCCTCCCTTGCTCCTCCCTGGCCTGGCTGGGAAGGAGGAATCCAGTTCACTTCCAAGGACGTGGAATGTCAGCAGAGCCACAGCTGCAGTTGCCTCCTGGAGGCTGACACTGGAAGCAGCTTCTGCCTACCGGTTCTCCTCGATGCCTTGGCTTCTTTGTTCAGTTTGCTGTTGTGGTTTCTCCCTCACTTAGGGGAGCCCTGGGATCGGGCCTAAACCAACAGTCAGACATCCCTCACAATCCTGGATACTGGCTCCTAATCGCTCACCTGTCTGCCTCCCTGGTCACCCCTAACTGCCCCCTGTTGCTGACTAGGTCACCCCCAACTGCCCCCCCCCCCTGCCGGCCTGGTCACCCTTCATACCCCCCCACCCCACCCCCGCCAGCCTGGTTGCCCCACACAGCCTAATTATTTAGTCGTTTGGTCGTCTGACCCTCACCTCCTAATCCTTCCCCAATTGCCCCACAAACCTTCAAGCTGCTGATGGCAAGGACTGGCAGCTTCCAGCCCTGCTCAGAAGCAAATTCAAATTCTCTTCTGGGCAAGGAGGAAGGGCAGATGCTCCCTCCCAGGCCTCCCT